TTTTTATCTTTCTGAGTTGAATTTTCACATTTAGACCGCTATACTTTAATCAGTATATTGATGCGTTTTCCCTTAGATTCCGTACAGTTAATCGATTTCTCATGTTGATGAGGCTTGGATACGGTGTTAAGAAATTCAGGCCAAAAAGAGCGTGTTTTGGAATCGTTTGCTGAATGCACGGGGCAGGTGAACGACCTATCGTTTAGAAGCTATTTGAAATAAGTTCCCATAACATGGGTATTTTGTTTCAATGATAACTAAGAAAGTATTGAACTGTTTAGTTTTTAAACCATTCGATCAAGTTAGCAAGAATATTTTAGTTTAACTGCATAATTTTAGAGTTATGGTACAAGGTGTAAATCATACTAATATTTTAAATGCGAAAGTGTGGATGGATGGATGGATGGATGGATGTTTGTTAGAGTTTGTAGCCTAAACGGCTGAACGAATTTCAATGAAATTTGGTATAGATGCAGAGGATAGTCTAGAAGAACACATAGGCTCACTTTTGTTTTTTTTTAATTCCACGCGGACGGAGTAGCGGGTGAAAGCTTGTTATTCATAGATTTAGGAAAAACAATTCTTGGATATTATACAATTTTCGGAATACAAATTTGTATTTTCTTATTAAATTCTGTATTAAAGCCCACTACAGACGGTCAGTTGTAACAGTCTTAACTGTTCAGTTAATACTGTGCGTATGTCAGTAACACTTTGTACTGCTTAACTGATAAGTGTAATGATGTGTAAGGTACTAAAATCTGAGGTCACAAATACCAGTTGACCTTGGACAGCTGTATTCATAAAGTGTGTGATCAACACCGGTGTGACGTAACATCGCTGATGTCACCTTTACCGGAATTATGTGTAATTAATATCGCGGTCAATACGACTACTTATTTTGGTAAAGAATAACTTAAACATCACAGTCGAGGACTTATATGTCCTACCCATGTAGATAAAATATCTGACGACCTGTAAGAGATATTTGCAATGACGTGGGGGCCTTCAAAAGGAGAGTGAACACAATATTAAGCTACCGCGTACCATCTTTCGACTGCATCGTCATTTCCTTCAGGTGGGATCGTGGTCAAGCGCTAGCCTAACAAATATATAAAAAAAAGATCGTAAACTTAAGCAAAATTCATACAGGGTATATCTTCATATGGAGACAATTTTTTGCGCGACTTTCGATTTTAAGTTATTTCCGTCAATTTAAGGTAACGCCGTTTTCGGCGTTCTTGCTTATTTGTTGCGAAGAACGTAAAATAAGCTAATAATGACTACATTTAGATGGCGTCATTTAAGTGATGTGTTTATTTGACTTGTGTAGAATTACATTTTGACTACCCGTGAACACGAGAGTCCGATGACGTCACAGTTCTAAAGAATATCTTACTTGGAATCTTCAGTCAGATTCCAAACTATAACTAGTGTCCAGCATTTAATCAATGAAATACAGGCTTGATAAATGGATGGGTGTTTGTTAGAGTTTGTAGATTAAAATGCTAAACGTATTTTAATGTCACAAATAGAACATAGTCTGGTAGAACACATAGGCACACTCTTTAATCCTCTTCGATTAAAAGGAGGAGGAGGAAAACAGGAGGTCCAAATGTACCATGTCTCATGTATCTTTTACGGATCTCTCCAGATAGGAATATGTGACTAACATTTATTATTAAATAATATGTGGGTCAGAGACGTCGACGTTAATTGACGCTGGACAAGGCGACTTGTTCGTCAAACAACACATTATTGATTTGCTTATCGCGTCTCTGACAGACATTGATGTATTGTGACATTTAACAAGAAACATTTGTCAGTTTTAGCGGCCGCACACCTTTGACTAAACTATCGCACAATTTTATGCGATTGTCGATTGTTTCGACGCCAATTCAACTGTTCGGTTGCACCTCTATATAAGCTCTTAATAATCAAAGCAAGACTAAATGTTAATGTTACCGAGGAGTAGCACGAAATTTTTGAGAGAATGTTTTCGTATCGACATCCAAAGTGAGATTTGTGCAGCACGTACAGGTAAGTATGAAATTTATGATCTATATTTAAACTTATAAGTTTAAAATGTATCTAAATAATTCTCGATAAACAAATTAGGTGACAAAATGTTCTACAAAAGTTGATAGCATCATCATTTTTCTCCTTATCCTACTCCCGTAGGGCGCAACAGGTTTTTGTCCTCCACATAACTATCTTACGTCATCTCAGTCATCACTCCCTTTTTATCATGTCACCATTAACGCAATCCATCCATCTCTTTCTAGGTCTACCTCTACCTTTGTACCCTTCCACACTCACAACTAACGTTCTCAAAGGTTGATAGCCTGATAATAATTTACTCTACCTTTCCTTACATATTCACTTTGAAGGTAAGAATATTTGTAAATCCTAATTTGATATTATCCAGTTAAAATGCATACCATCCCGAGTACATCAATGGCTTGAGCATAACTCTAAGTGCGGACATAACGTGCAAATTAATCTCGGCGTGCACATTAGTGTCGGCAACACAACTATGCAATAAAACGACTACTGAAATACTGCATCTGGCGCTACCTATCAGGGCTGAGAGAAATTAAGGAATAAGCAAATTTTTCCTTGTAATCTATACATATATTATAAAGAGGAAAGATTTGGATTATTGAATTTTGTGTATGTATTTGATTTTAAAAATTATTTCACCGTTAGAAAGGTAATTTATCTCTAAGTAACATAGGCTATAATTTTCATGATTTTTTTTTATTTTCACACGGACGAAGTCGCAAGCAACAGCTAATGTTTAAAGCAATGAAATACGACTAACTTGATAGGGATCTATAATGATCTGATTCTCAACATACAATTTAAGTTATATACTCGTAAGCATATGATTTGTAATCTGTCGTTCCTAGGTTCTAATCCCGCCATGTACCCGCCTTTCTTACGCTTATTTCTGTACACACACACTTTTCTTTGCACCAGCGTGGTTAATCCTATGTTCCATTAACAAATTTCCATTTATAAGTTTAAAACGCCGTAATTTATATAGCTCTTGTACAAACTTTTGGATTATAGTGAAATTCATGTTTTAAAAGTCAGTATGTATCTGTAAAATTCGTATTGATATTATGTACGTTTTTTATGTTTATTCATTATGGCGGTGTTCTTGTGAGTGTTTGATAAAATGAAAGAATTATTTCATGTATTTAGTAAATAAATAAAGTTACGAAAGGCTCCAAGCCCCTTAGTGAAGATTTAAGCTGATGATAATGTTATCACTGTTACACTATAAAAAGTATTGTCTCACTTTTTTAGAGAGAACAAGAGCGGTGACATTTTTAAATGACTATTTCGGTAGTTCTAAAAATCCATGGCAAAGATAATCATGCTCTGAAACTTTTGTGACGTCTGAGAAGTCTAGATTCAACCCTAAAAGACTAGATTAAGTTATAGATAGTCTAGCTACAGATAAACTTAAAGGATTAAGAAGTAGCATTCCATACCAGGATTTAATTTTAAGTTTCTAATTAATTAAAGTTATTCCTAGATGGAGCCACCATCACTAATACCTTGTCGACATATGCACTTGTGCTAATTGTAGTCAGCTACATTAGTATTACGACTCTATATAGACAGAGGGCCTAGCACGAAAAATTTCAAGAAAGTATCATCAACAAAATAGGTAGAAAATTTGTCGAGGTACTTTAAGAACGCTGCAAAAACAACTATTGTTATCAATTAAATTGTCTAAAAAAACAGAAGAAAAATATTTTTTTTATTATAACGTTTCGGCAATGGAAACTCTAGTTGATTAGTTTATTTTATAAGAACCGCAAGAATTCCTTGTTGATCGAAAATTCATAGAAATGTAGGTTGTGGTTTTTGCATTAAGTACTGAAGAGATCGAAATATGTAACAACAAATGTGTTTATTTGAATTAAATCCAGTTCATAGTAATTCTAATGACACATCGTTGGTTTTGAAATGATGTAATTTATAAATTGAGAACTTTACAATATGCAGTATTTTAAAAGGAAAAATTTATATTTATTGCTTACGAGCTGTTGCCCGCGACTTCGTCTGCGTGGTATTAGAAAACATACAAACTATAAAAATTACAAAAAGCTACGTATCCCTCGGGAACCGAACATTTCTCGGGGATGAAGCTTATCCCATGTGTACTCCAGACTTTGTTTTATACCTGTGCCAAATTTCAATAAGATATGTTGAACCGTTGCAGAATGATCGAGTAAACATTAAAAAACTAAATTAATGAATCCCACGGGAACCGTAACTATTCCAGGGATAAAATGTAGCCTATGTGCTCTAAACCTGTGCCAAATTTCATGGAGATCCGTTCAGCCGTTTAGGCTACAAACGCTAACACACATCCATCCATCCATCCATCCATCTAAACTTTCGCATTTATAACATTAGTAAGAAGTAAGATTTAATAACAAGTTATCTACAGATCCTGGGTTTGAATCCCGCCAATAATGAGTGTTTCTCTCCGCGTTGAATTAAAAAAAAAAGTGAGTAGCCTATGTGTTCTTCCAGATTGTCTACGTCTGTACCAAATTTCTTTGAAATCCGTTAAGCCGTTTAGTCTACAAACTCTAACAAACATCCATCCATCTAAACTTTCGCATTTATAATATTAGTATGAAGTAAGATAGTATGATTCTCCCGACCTTCTTACGAGGAAAGGAAAATATCGTGATGCAACCTGCACATATCAGCGTTGTTGACTATGGCTAATAAGCCCTAATTCAGGGTAAACTCCGAGCCCCTTAATTGGAACTTATAATGAGGTAATGATGATTTTGACAAAAAAAAACCGTTAACCGGCGCGTAAAGTAACGCCAATGTGTACCAATGTATTCATTGGAAGAATTATATCATATATTCTCTGTAGAAGAAATTCTCATTTCTTCTCTGTCTTTTTTATCATTTGGCAAAGATTAAAAATTTTTAATCTATGCCAAATCCATAATGTCAAAACATTTTTAGTCTTTGACATATTTTATCCTTTTTGATTTTATATATTTTACAATTTAATAATACATTTTAATGTCTAAATACGACAGAGCGGTAACAGTGTTTTCTCCAGATGGTCATTTAATGCAAGTCCAGTACGCCCAAGAGGCGGTACGCAAGGGATCCCCAGTGATAGGGGTCCGTGGTACAGAGGTTGTAGTGCTAGCTACAGAGAAGAGATCGGTAGAGAAGCTGCAAGACGACAGAACAGAAAAGAAGATAATACCTTTAGATGAGCACGTCGTTCTTGCGTTTGCTGGATTAAGAGCCGATGCTAGAGTACTCATTTCTAGGTTAGTTGTCACTTTCAGTCTTTAAATGGTTAGCTTAGTTTTTTAGTGTATTACAAATACACTAAGAGACCATTTTAAGTATCTGAATAATATAACTAGTATTATAGATGCGAACGTTTAGATTGATGGACGAATGTTTGTTAGTTTGTAGCCGAAACTGCTGAACGAATGTTGATGAAATTTACCATAGAAGTAAAGGATAACTTTGAAAAAATTATAGGCTACTTTTGTTTAATAGGTACCAATATTCTTTTCCAGTATACAATAGAAATTGGATTGGATTGGATACGATTTGTTCTTTTAGGGCACAAATAGAATGTCAATCTCACAGACTCATAGTAGAAGATGCTGTAAAGTTAGAATACATTACACGCTTCGTAGCAGAACAGAAGCAGAAGTACACACAGAGCAATGGACGACGTCCTTACGGCATTTCGTGTCTTATAGCTGGGTTCGATTACGATGGTGATGCGCATTTGTTTCAGACGGAACCTTCTGGAACGTTTTATGAATGGAAGGTACGTAGCGAATCATTACGTATTGGTATGTTTACGTATTATTTGAACCGACCAAAATATCTAGCATTTCCACTCTCTTTACTCCCTTTCTCCAATAAGCAGACAAAAGTTAAAGTATACGATAATTTTAAGTATTTTGATCATTTTATATGAGGTGAAAAAAATAAAAAAAAAGCAAGTAGCCTATGTCTTCTTCCAAATCCTCTACATCTATGTCAAATTTCATGGAGATCCGTTCAGCAGTTTAGTCTACAAACTCTAACCACCGTCCATCTAAACTCTCGCATTTATAATATGCCATTTATTACAATAAAATTATACCCAGGCGTGTTCCATCGGACGAGGAGAGAAGACCGCTCGGGAATTACTTGAGAAACACTACAATGATACGGCTGTAAGCACAGAAAAGGGCACGATAAAGCTGGCTATTATGTGCCTTCTAGAAGTTGTATATTATGGTCAAAAGAACTTAGACGTAAGTAGCAAGAAATGATTAATTAAAATCAATTAAACGGCGCGACAAAATAGATCTAGCCCAAAGGGAAATGTCCCCTTTCCGTGTGGCCCCTCGGTCTAATAATCTACATTTGGACAACAGTCGATTCGCTATTTCGGCGAATTCAAGTAGCTAATTGCTCAGTCGCTGCTTTATGACGCCGATAAAAAATAAATAAACAAACCAACTTTCAGGTAATGGTCCTAAAGAAAGGTAATCCGGTGAAATTCTTGAATCAAGACGAGATTAAAACTTTTATATCAGAAATAGAAATGGAGAAGGAGAAAGACAAAGAAAAATAACCTAATGCATAGCATTTCTATGACAAAGTTTTAAAACAATCATTTACTAACGAAAACTTCTGTATACAAAGTAAAGGTGGTAATTGATATTAAAAAGCGTTTATTTCAGATCTTCCTTGTCACAGCAATAAAAATTCTCCAAACTTCATATAACTCTTCGGATTAGGGGTCTAGCACGAAAATTTAAAAGTACTCGTATCGATATCGACTTTTCATTACGCCTGACAGGAGCATAATCCGCACATCTTTGTCTAAATTCACACGAATACATTCTCGCAAATTTTCGTGTTAGGCCTCTCTGAAGCTTAATGTCTACGTGACTACAAATAGGGGATACCAGGATCATATCATAAGGAACCGATGGTTATATCTAATCGCAATAATCTTATCAATGTTCAAATTAGACGTTTCAATTTATTGCATTGACGTCAAACGATGTATTCAGCAAAAACGATTGATAAAATTAATAAAATATACTACCTGTTTCTTCATATATGCATTCGTTTACCTGAAAAAAACAAATTCGGTTAAAAATTAGAAACAGCGCCATCTGTTGTATGAATGGAATATCTCGTAAAGAACGCGCGCGGTTTCTAGTATCTGTACGTTTCTGTAGCTAAATATAGATTGCGCTACTTGTCTTTGAATCTATGTAATTTTTTAGAAATACTATATTTTCAGTATTGCTAAAATGTATTTTATAACTCTTATTCCACAATTTGTAGTGAATCGTTAAAAATAGAAAGATTATTTGATCATGAGAAAAAAATAGTATGCAAAATAGGTAAATACTTCTAATTCTTGGTATGTTTACTTAACAATAATTTTAGAGTAAATCCTTAAGCTTTGAATTATCAAACTGACTTATATTTTTTCAATACGAAACTCAAGTCCGGAGTTCATTGAACTGCAATCACGTCCAATAAATTACTTCATAATCTAAGTTATTTTGACGATAGGAGAATGAATCAAATTAAATTGTTTTTTATTATACCTGACCAACATATAATTTGGAATTTTTATTTACAACTAGCTTTCGCCCGCGACTCCGTCCGCGCGGAATAAAAAAAATCAAAAGCAAGTATCCTATGAGTTCTTCCAGACTATCCTCTACATCTATGCCAAATTTCATCGAGATCCGTTCAGCCGTTTAGGCTACAAACTCTAACAAACATACATCCATCCATCTAAACTTTCGCATTTATAATATTAGTAAGCAGTAAGAAGTAAGATTGCTGAAAAACTTCTTTCAAATAATTAATATAGCTTACAAAACATATTTATTGCAATTATTTTATTAATAACGTTAAAACCGATAACCTTAACGAAGTCAAGATAAATTCAGTTACTCGGTCAAGTGCAATAATATCTACTCTGCTAACACATAGATTCTGCGCGTATCCAGATTGAAAACAACATAAAAAAAAAACAATAAAAAAGCTAAACAATAATCTCTTTCGCTTTAAAAACGAGTAAAGTAAACCAGAATGCTGTTTAGTCTAATCTATACTTATATATATCTATACTATTATAATAAAGCGTAAACACACACTTCTTTGTTGCCTAAGATGTCAACAATTACAGCATATTTTTAAATAATTCTTTCTTTAATAAAAAGCCCTACACTTACATTACGCGTTAGGCTATATATTTTCAGGCCATTAAACTTAGGGGGTAAATATTTTAGATAAAAATCCTAATGTGGGAAAGAGACCATAAGTTGCTACCAACATTAAAGAAGCAAGGTTGTCATCATGTCATGTCATTTTGACATTTGTAATTGATAATTTGACACATTGTAACATTTATTTTTTTGTCCCACAAATAAAATAAAAAATAACGTGACAACATGTAAACAATAAAATAAAATTTTCATAATTTTATGCGGATGAAATCGCACGGGAACAGCTATTATATTATATGGAGACATTTGCTATAGAATATAACAGAGACCTACTAAAAGATCAATAACTTAACCAAAACTTGGCAAATAAAACTGGACCACGGCCTACATTAAGTAGATTTAAATTCAACTTGTGATCCAAGTCGTGTGAAAATCATATCTTACCTTACGAGAGAACTATTCTAAACTCATATCACGTATGTTATGGGGCCATAAAACCAGCGACCTACTTTAAAATAATACAAACATGTTTTTTATGACAAACATTTGTCATGATTTTAAGAGATAGCTAAGTACAGTAGGTTACGTTAAGTAATTACTCGACTAAAAACGTTTAATTCTAGTAGAAGATAGTTTTTGCCCGCGACTTTGATAGCGTTAAATAGAAAAAAATATAGTATATAATCATACTAATATTATAAATGCGAAAGTTTAGATATTAATGTTTGTTAGAGTTTGTAGCCTAAACGGCTGAACGGATCTAGATGAAATTTGGTAAATGTAGAGCATAATCTGGAAGAAAACATAGACTACTTGCTTTTGTTTTTTTAATTCCACGCGGACAGAGTCACGGGCGAAAGCTTCACTTATAATCACTTCTTTTGCTCTGGGATCTAGCGATGGATTTCACAAAAGAGATTCCGAATATTGTAGAGCACCAGATGTTATACCGGACAAGGAAGTTCGTATGAGTAGCGACCAAACATTCACACAGACTGTCGACAATTAACGCATGCGTGCGAACACCGCCGCACCCCGTCTTCAAATATAACAATAAACAGTGCCGGTTCCACTACTAGCCTACTAGCGCCCTGGGCGTGATTTCTTTATCGCCCTTTTTTTACGGTTAAGACATCCACAGACCGATAACGCCTCTTTCTGTTAGCCCTGGGCAATCGCCTACCAAGCCCTACCGTAACGCCGGTACTAACAACAAAGACTGGGTTGGAATTAGACGGCATAATGAAGAGGATGTCTTTTGATCCTTCTTTTGTCTCTTTCAGTCTTTACCTTTAAATTAAGACGTAGGTATGGGGCTATATATAATTCTTTTTAAATAGAAAAAGTAATTGGAGATTTTCTTGATACAGTTAAATAAATGATTTCGAATATCGAATCGATCGTGTTTTACGAAAAGAAGATCTTTTGGTAAAAGACCAAAATTGGTTATTAAGAAGGACTAAAACAGTCTGTTTCATTTATTCACATGAAGTAAAATAACTAAAGAACGTTCATTTATAAATGAATTCAATCCATCTCTGGTCCCACCTGCAATACGTCACACTGGCCAAATATTTACGAGTCCAACAAAGAACATAACAAACGTTCATTAGCGTTCATATGCAACCATTTGTTTTGGCTACAGATATTTTAGGAAACTGCGTATAAATTACTTACATCTATACTATTATAATAAAGCGTAAACACACACTTCTTTGTTGCCTAAGATGTCAGCAATTACAGCATATTTTTGAATAACTCTTTTCTTAATAAAAAGCTCTACACTTATGTCACGCTTTAGGCTATATATTTTCACGCAATTCAACTTAGGGAGTCAATATTTTGGATAAAAACCCTAATGTGGGAATGAGACTATAAGTTGCTGCCAACATCAAGGAAGCAATTGTTATTTGTGCATTTGAATTTTGACATTTCATGTGGATGAAGCCACACTGGAACAGCTAGAACAAAATACAAAGCAAACTCAAATCAGTAGCCACGTGGATGTCGCAGATGTACAAGGGGCCATTCGTCACAATAAAGCACACCGGTAAAGGAAGTCCGCAATAAGATGCTAAAGGTCATTTTCTGGTAACAGTTAACAAATTGCTGACATCCTCACTGATTAACTATCCATTGTAAATATTTAAAATTGCATAACACTGCTCTCGTGGTTTTTACTTAAATGTGTCTTTTTAGCATCTAACAATTACACGCAGCTCAATAAGCTATTCCGATCATCTTAATTACTTTATATCTACAATAATAAAGAGGAAAGTTTTTTATTTTCGTATGTATTAACTGAAAAACTACTAGGCTGATTTTAAAAATTCTTTCACCATTGAAAAGCTACGTTATTATTGAGCAAAATGGGCAATTTTCAATTATACATATTACAACAAAGTCGCGATCAACAAGTAGTTAGAAAATAAGATTCAACGGATAGTGAATGGTATCCAAAAGATAAGTGTAAATAATACTTTACTCCTTTATAACGACGAAAACTTAAAAATATCCGACTATTATGTACAGTCACGGCACTTTGATGTGTTAAACTTGTAATATTCTGTAGAAAAAATTCCTTATAGCAATACTGGACTGGATAAATATAAAAATAACTTAGCTATGAACCACTGGCTGACTTTTTTCGTATAAATTGAAAACAAAATACACGAAAAACAAAACAAAATGCACTAAAAACAAAACACAATACACCAAAAACAAAATATTCTCAAAAAAAAACAGTACACTAAAAAGTAACGAAATAATTCCTTGAAAATAGTAAACCTACCTTATTG